GTAATCATCCTATTAGTGAGCAACATACAGTGTCTAGCAATACTCCTGTTAGCGGGCCATATACAGTATCTCGCAATCCTCCTTTTAGTGGGCAACACACGGTGTCTAGCAATCCTCCTGTTAGTGGGCAACATACGGTGTCTAGCAATCATCCTGTTAGTGAGCAACACACAGTATCTAGCAATCCTCCTGTTAGTGGGCAACATACAGGATCTAGCATTCATCCTGTTAGTTGGCAATGTACAGTGATTAGCATTCCTCCTGTTAGTGGGCCACATACGGTGTCTAGCAATCCTCCTGTTAGTGGGCATAGTACAGTGATTAGCAATCCTCCTGTTTGTGGGCATAGTACAGTGTTTAGCATTCATCCTGTTAGTGGGTAACGTACAGTGTTTAGCAATCCTCCTGTTAGTGGGCATAGTACAGTGTTTAGCAATCCTTCTGTTAGTGGGCATAGTACAGTGTTTAGCATTCATACTTTTAGCGTGTCAACGTACAGTGTTTAGCATTCTTCCTGTTAGTGGGCAACGTACAGTGTCTAGCATTCATCTTGTTAGCGAGCAAAGTACAGTGTTTAGAATTCATATTGTTAGCGAGCAACGTACAGTGTTTAGCAATCATCCCTGGCCACAGACACAGTGTTTAGCCTTCATCCCTCGTCACAGACACAGTGTTCTCCTCCTAAATCTGCATGAAATGTTTGTCACTGGACATTATAAGAAATCAATCAATCAACAGAAGACGAGAAACTTAACAATATTTCAAGCTCTATGCCGTACAGTCTCAAAATCGGATTCAATTAAATTAATTTAAAACTAACAGCTCTTTAGACGATATTTGTTAGTATCACGGAAATTAGAAGATTATGTCAATAGCTTATAAAAAAGAAGATGTGGTATTATTGCCAATGAAACTCTTCACAAAAGACCAAATGACACAGATATTAACAGCTATAGCTCACCGTACGGCCTTCAACAATGAGCAAAGCCCATACCACATAGTCAGCTAAAAAAGGGCCCCGAAATAACAAATGTAAAACAATTCAAACGAGAAAGCTAACGGACTAATTAATGTACAAAAAAATGAACGAAAAACAAATATGTAAGACAGCAACAAACGACGACCACTGAATTACAGGCTCCTGACTTGGAACAGGCACATACATACAGAATGTGGCGGTGTTAAACATGTAAGCGGGATCCCAACCCTCCCCCTAACCTGGGACAGTGGTGTAACAGCACAACATAAGAACGAACTATAAAAATCAGTTGAAAAAGGCTTAACTCATCAGATGCTTAGCCTTTTTTTAATGAGCTTTGTTGCAAAAATAACTATACTTATATACACGAGGAGATTACACCAACGAGAAGCACCTAAACAACGTTCAATGAAAAGCCATTTAATCTGTCCAAGAAAGATATCTGTCAACAAAAACATAAGTCAACAAATAACATCTGTCAAACAAAAATATCTGTCAAAAAATGACTTCTGTCCAAAAAAAACTTAGTGAAGACATATGTTCAACAAAGATAGCTGTCCAACAAAGATATGTACAACAAAGACACGTACAACAAAATAATATAGTGTGTCTATGCAACAAAGATGTGTCCCACAAAGACATCTTTTCAACAAATACATCTGTCCAACAAATACATCTGACCAACAAAAGAATCTTTCCAACATAGACATCTGACTAATAAAGACATCTGTCCACCAGATACATCTGTCCAACAAAGATATCTGTCCGACAATGACATCTGTCTAACAAAGACATCTGTCCAACAAAGACATCTGTCCAACAAAGACATCTTTCCAACAAAGATATCTTTCCAACAAAGACATCCGTCCCACAAAAACATCTGTCCAAAAAAGTCATCTGTCCAACAAAGACATCTTTCCAACAATGAAATCTTTCCAACAAAGACATATGTGCAACAAAAATATCTAATATGACCAAAAGAGACATCTCACTCAACGTACGAGTAAAAGGAGGTCTGGAATAAACGTCAATGAGACAACAATCCAACACCACAAATAACCAATAGACATCTAGTGGACAACACACAACGTTAAGTGAAAGGAGATGTGGGATAAACGTCAATGAGACAACAATCCAACAACACAAATAACCAAAAGACATCTAGTGGGCAACGTACAGTATTTAGCAATCCTCCTGTTAGTGGGCAACATACGGTGTCTAGTAATCATTAGTGGACAACATACAGTGTTTAGCAATCCTATTAGTGGCCAACATACGGTGTCTTGTAATCATCCTGTTAGTGGGCAACATACAGTATCTAGCAATACTCCTGTTAGTGGGCAACGTACAGTGTCTAGCAATCCTCCTGTTAGTGGGCAACATACAGTATCTAGCATTCATCATGTTAGTTGGCAATGTACAGTGTTTAGCATTCCTCCTGTTAGTGGGCAACATACGGTGTCTAGCAATCCTCCTGTAAGTGGGCATAGTAAAGTGTTTAGCAATCCTCCTGTTAGTGGGCATAGTACAGTGTTTAGCATTCATCCTGTTAGTGGGTAACGTACAGTGTTTAGCAATCCTCCTGTTAGTGGGCATAGTACAGTGTTTAGCAATCCTCCTGTTAGTGGGCATAGTACAATGTTTAGCATTCATCCTGTTAGTGGGCAACGTACAGTGTTTAGCATTCCTCCTGTTAGTGGGCAACGTTCAGTGTCTAGCATTCATCTTGTTAGCGAGCAACGTACAGTGTTTAGCAATCATCCCTGGCCACAGACACAGTGTTTAGCCTTCAATCCTCGTCACAGACACAGTGTTCTCGTCCTAAATCTGCATGAAATGTTTGTCACTGGACGTTATAAGAAATCAATCAATCAACAAAAGACGGGAAACTTAACAATATTTCAAGCTCTATGCCGTACAGTCTCAAAATCCAACAAAGACATCTGACCAACAAAGACATCTGTCCAACAAATACATCTGACCAACAAAAGAATCTTTCCAACAAAGACATCTGACTAATAAAGACATCTGTCCACCAGAGACATCTGTCCAACAAAGACATTTGATCAACAAAAGAATCTGTCCAACAGAGACATCTGTCCAACAAAAACATCTGTCCAACAAAAACATCTGTCCCACAAAGACATATGTCCAACAAAGACATCTGTCCAACTCAGCAAAGATATCTGTCCAACAAAGACATCTTTCCAACAATGAAATCTTTCCAACAAAGACATCTGTGCAACACGAATATCTAATATGACCAACAGAGACATCTGTTCAATTGGGTAGGTCCAACAAAGACGACATCTGTTCAACAACATTCTTTTTCTACCAAAGACATCTGTCTTACAAAAATATCTAGTCTGTCCAACAATGACATCTCTTCAACAAAGACATCTGACCAACAAAGATATCTGTCTTACAAAGGCAGCTGATCTGTCAACAACAAAAACTTACTAATATGAAATCTGTATTATGTACCCAAGCGCCTTTGGTGGAGATGTGTATTCCACATGTAAATATTGATGGGTGCTTTCGTCGAGGTCCGCGTTGTTAGCTTCCGTGTTGTGTATTCATTGATATGTAAATAAGTTGCTTTCTTTATAAAAAAAAAAATGCAATCGTGAATATTAATGCCTGTTTTTATGAAATTTAAAGATCAGATAATTGTTATATAAGGATCCATGATTTATCCTGATTTTTTTGTTATATAAGATGTATAAAAACTGACGGATTCTTAATGAAACTGCTGTTGTAACGGTTTATTTCTTCCTCTGTGATATTTTATCCTGAGGATATTTTGTCCCAGTAATTTTTTTCCAGACATGGTATTTCACAGGTAGATATTTTCCAGAGAAGTGAAAATCTATCTGTGTTGTGCGGATAGTATGTACCAGTATATATTTTTGTTCCATATTTCATAGAACCTTGTGAAATAAAGTCCCATTAACTACTATGTAAGTTACTCACAATCAATATATACCTGACCATAATTATGAATGTTTCAAAAAGGTAGAACAAATTTGCATAATTTATCAATTAAAGGGAGGTAATTATGAGCAATTTTTATTTTAAAGATATTAATATTATATTCCCGAATCTATTCCATAGTAATATTTTCCCTTGAATCTTATTTCTATATTCATTTATATAAAAAGATGACTTTAAACATGATTTAATAAGACAGATAATATTTCACAGGTGAATACTATCCAGCTGTTGAAATTGCGTTTGTTCCAATATATTGTTATGATTCATCTGATTTCCATATTATCAACAACTACATCTTTGTACCCAGACAAAACTATTAATATAGTTAAAATATCATACTCAAATTCTTCCATAATACTGTTCACAGCAACTATATTTCTACCTTTACTTTTTAATTTATATTTGTACTGAGATCTGAAAACAACTCACTTTTATCTGTATTTCACTTACCTTATTTTATATATATTAAATTAAGCATGATATTATTTCACAATTATGATCTTTGAAATTACTTCTGGTTTTCTTTTCTATGTTTCATAATAATTGTCTGTTTAAAAGAATGATAGTTACTTGAATATTTCAGGATATTATTTTCAATGATAATCTGTGAAATTATTACCCATTCATATAATACATTTTTTTTTAACAATTTAGCTTTAATTAAAATACACTATTATTATTTCATAGTGTTTGTAAATATTAAGTTTTTTTGATAACCATTCAATAGTTTAACTACCAACATTGAATTTCACGACAAAGGAAAAAATATCCTAGGGAAATATTTTCCTCCAGATAAAAAAAAAACAACAACTACTGTGACATTTTTTCCACCGGATCAAATTTCACCCGGATACAATTTTGCTTTACACTGTCCATTGTTGGGCATAATTTTCTTGTAAAGAAAGTCATTTATCTCTCTCCCAGCTCTCTCTCTTCCGATAAATAACATTGCTACATGTTAAATAGGAGGCAACCACGTACTGAAAATAGTCTTTGTTTTGAAGAAGATAAATGAAATTGTGGTAGACTGTATTTTATAGGTTTTACAGTAATTGTGTATATTTTTATATTTAGTTTATAGTGTTGTATTTTGTATAGGATATGACTTATATTGATTAATTAAAGGTATGAGTATATTAATTACAGATTGTAATTAATTGATTAATATATTTATTTTCATAGTTCATTTTATTTGCTTATTTGACAGTTGGACTTATTGACAGACGACATTTTCTACTGGTTTGGGTAACTTTGGTTTCACTGTATTTTACTTCAAAGGCTTTCTTTTCATGGTTCATTGGACCGCACACTTTCTTTATTTCTATTGGTCTTATGTTTTGGCGCTATATTTCTTTTGTTCTTTATACTGGTTATCACTTTTGATATAATGGTGGACATAGACATTTGTGTCTGATATAATTCTAAGTTTGAGTAACATTCTTTCTTAGTGTTCTATATTCTATATACAGGTCAGTTATCTTTCTCTATTACTAATTATATGTTAATAGTCCAGATATTTATTATTTTACCTAGAATGAATGTTTAGAATGAAAGACCGATGCGTAAATGTTGAATGCGAGATGAATGCTTTAAAATGATATAAAATAGATAAAGTACAGTAAAGTATTATCTGTTTGATTAAATGGTTTAAGAGACGTTATTTTCATATTTTCATAAATAAAGTACTTTTAACTAATTTGGTAAAGAATTAATTTAATACACACTGTATGAGAATTCGAGTGTTCCGGTACGAATGCTTTAAATACTTTTAAAGGTAAAGATATAAACGTAATAAAAGTTATGTGGTATTGATTGATTATTTTAACTAAGAGTACATATCGTAAACAGGTGGATTATTACAGTAAAACATGGATTACAATTTGTTTATTTGTTATACAGGTATATTTTAAGTAATCCTGGGAAGATGTGATTAAATTCCAATTAGATAATTCAGGAGGCCTTTGCACCTCATGCGAGGTAAGCTAAGTGTTATTTTTGTAATGTTCGTATTTTTGTTTGTTGCTATTTTATGCTTACGGCATTTATACAGCATGCAGCTTTTGCTTTTAGTTTTGTTAATTTGCTTATGTTAAAGTTTGAGTTAACCGCTTTTGTCATTTTTTCGTATATTAGACTTGTTTATATAATATGAGTCGTTAAGTGCATATGGACTAAACTTTGTCAGATACGCTCAACAATATAAGCATATTGTTGTAAATACATGCAGAACAGATTTATTTCTACTTCTATTAGTAAAACATTTGTTTATCACATTACATGGATAGAAACCTATGTACCAGATTATTTATTCGATAAACGGTCAGAATCTTACTATTGTATTTATTTTGTAGGGTATTTATTTAGTTATTGTTATTATCCTGATTTTGTCAAGAAATAAAACGAATCCACCTCAGAAGAAAGTATTGTTTTATTAGCCCTAGAAAGTGCTACTACATAATTTGGCGCCCACAAAGAGTTATTTCTGTGACAACGTTGATATATCTACGATTGGAATTCTTGGATTGAAGAAACCGTACGGTGAAAGTTGTTCGAACGCACCCGACCTAGTTATTGGCCAACGTCCGGTTCATATGAACGAAGAAAAGGTAAACAGAAATCGACATGTGATTGGAATTCTGAAACAACTTTTCTTGATTTATACTGATATTGTAAGTTGAATTAATATGTTTATATGAATTGAATTTGTGTATATTACATTACATTATATAACCGCAAGAGTAATTTGCGATAATTTTATACTGAAACTAGAATTTAAGAGCAGATTTGTGTTGTTAAAAAAAAATATTGTGGTACATATTTATGCATTGAAAGTTGTATAGTACATAGACTGAAAACTTATGCATTGGATGTATAGTGGTTGTTGCTTACAGTGAGACATACTTTGTGAACTTAGGTTGATTGAATATAGGTATTTTTTTTCAGAGACTTAGATAAATTTTTTTTTCTCTTTGATACTTGACCTACTTACCCCCCCCCCCCCCCCCCCCCCTAAAAAAAGTAAACAAGGTCAAGGTCAACCGGAAGTACATGTATTGAAATAGATTATACATACACAACACTTGTAAACAAATCTTAGTAACACAGTGACATTTGATATTGATTGTTTAACATTGATTGAAAATATTTTGACACATTTATTGTTTTGTGAAACATTGTCACTTGAAACTGGACTTTGTTAATTGACACATACTCACATACACTTTGATTTTGGATAATTGATCCTGAATTTTTTTTTTCCTCTCTCTGAGGTACATACACATAGGACTTTGTGAATTTTTTTTTTCAAATTTATTTTATTTTTTTCATATTCACACACTGATGATAGGTACATATGTTTACTTTTTGAGTTATTGCATACATGTGTGAAATGTTATGTGACTTGTATTACTTTATGTTTATGTACATGTAGTGTCATTGTGTTTTGATTTTTGTGTACAGCATATTGTGTTTATTGGTGTTATATGTGATTTGTACTCTTAAAAAAAAATTTAAACTTATTTAATTAGGAACATAAAATTTAGGTAAACATTTACAGAATAGTAGTACCGGGTAGTGTTTTACCGTATGTAAGGTGCATGTGCATGAAATCCTATATCTAATAATTACCTGCTAATACACACATTACATCCTTTCCTTATTGCATGTTAACCTACCTGTGATATACTTACTTTGATCTTTCAGTGTAGCTATACTTTGAGTTAGTTCTTTCATAGTTTGGTAGTTCGGTACTTGAGTGACTTTACAGATTATCTAGCTTTGACACTGAGTTGAGATATTATTGTGTCCTTGATTTAGAGGTGTGAGCATAAAAGTTTCACATTTCTGGCCAACCCTTTTACAGGAAGTATACATTGCTGAGTATTTACATTATTATTTGGTGAGTATACATTGTATTGCATACTTTGCATTTGATTCTGTACTTTGTTTATTTTTTTTTTGTACTGCATATTTTGACTTTACATTTATCAGTACTTACACTTATTACTGTAATCAGGTAAGTCATATACACACATACTTACAACATGGCTACAGGAGGAGATGAGGTCATCACTCATCAACCGAAGAGTCCATCATTGGAGATAGATCCTGACATTAAGAAGATGATGGATGCATTTGCAAAGATGGGAGTTAAACCCAAGGCAGATACACCAGAGGAACTTACTGATTGGATGATGGGATTTTTGAAGATGAAAGGAAAGATAAAGGAGGAACCAGAGGCCAAAATTGATTTACAACCACCACCTATACCATCAAAACCAGAAGAAAAAGTTACCAAGACAGTTATTAACCATCCACCGAAGATAGCATGGTTTTCAGGAACTGAAATCAAAGCTGGAGATGTTACATTTGAGGTATGGAGGCATGAGGTGAGAGTCCTTATGAAGCAGAACTATGACAAAGATGCCATACTCAACACCGTAAGCAGTCAGGGGCGTTACTTAAACAAGTTATTTTTTTAAGTTACTTATATAAGTAATTTTTGTTTTTAAAAATAATAAAATTACTTAATAGAGTTATTTTAAATTTCAATAGAAGCATAGACTAAATGTAGTTTTCATGAATTTTTACATCATTTTATATCATAAAATAAAGAATTAATTAGATTTGAGAGGAGTATAGAGATAAAGGGTTACTTTAAAAATAATGACAAAAATATTACTTGAATAAGTTATTTTATACATTTTTGAAAAAAATAGTAATAACACTTATTGAAGGAACATATGTAATTGATTTTGGTTACAAGCTATAAATAACTTCAAGTCTTAATTAATTCACAAGTATCTATCTATTTATATCAGTCTACCTTCAAGATTTTGGAGGAAAATGATAATTTAATAGTCCCATGAGACCAATCTTTGACACAGAAGCGTCAGTATGAAAGATAAGTGCGTCAGAAAGTTAATTAGTGTTTCAGAAGGATTAGATTTTATATTTCATGGGAAAAATAACCAGATGACTGTGAAAATTTGTTAAAGCTACTACAATCTGTATAATTGGACACCTATAAAAATAATATTCAGAAAAGTTACTTATATAAGTAATATTTAAAATAGCCTCGTTTTCAACATTACTTGTATAGGTAATTTTAATTGTTACTTATTTAAGTAATGCCCCTGACTGGTAAGAAGATCTTTACGTGGAGAAGCTGGAATGGTTGCCATGAGATTGGATTTAGATGCTTCAGTTCAAGAGATACTACAGAAGCTAGACAGTGTTTATGGTAGTGTGGAGAAGAAGGAGGAATTATTGGCAGAATTTTACAGCGCACGTCAAGGAACAGATGAGAGCGTTACTACCTGGAGTTGTAGACTAGAGAGCATACTTGGGAAAGCCAAAGAAAGAGGATTAGTACAACCAAAGGACATTGATGAGATGCTACGATCTATGCTTTGGACTGGACTTAGGACATCTTTAAAAGACATATCCGGCCACAAGTATGATACCATCAAGACCTTTGATGCACTTAGAGTAGCCATACGCCAGATAGAGGGTGATCATTTACTGAGGGAGTCATCAACTTCATCTAAGCCACACACCAGCAAGGCAGCAACTGAAGTTAAGGAAACACCATCAGAATTTGAGGAACTCAAAGGAATGATACATCAACTGGTTAACAGGATGGACACTTATGAGGCAAACAAACAACATACACCTCCATGGCAACAACAACAAGAACATCAGCAACAACAATGGCAACAACAGATACCACCTTGGCAACAACGACAACCATGGAATGGTCAACCACAACAACAGAGAGGTAGAGGAAAGAACTATGGACAAGGACAGAACAGAAATCAGTACAACAACACAAGACAACAACCACAAAGGAACAACAGAGATCAGTTTGCGTGTTGGAGATGTGGACAATTTGGACACAGGAAGGCAGACTGCAATGTGAGGTTAGACCACAGTAGGAAGAATTTAAACTGGCAGCAACCTATGAAGGGGGAACATCCATAGGTATTGCAAGACAACAAGTTCCCAGAAGCAACAGAGTTAAGATGCCAGCAGGACTTTTTGGAACACCAACTGAAACACAGATTTTTATCAACGGAAAGGAAACATCAACACTTTTAGACACTGGCTCAACCGTTTCCACCATTAGCGACAGCTTCTTTCGGGAACATATATCAACACCTTTGAAGAACTTGGATACATTACTGGACATTGAATGCGCTGATGGTCAGCAGTTACCATATCTTGGATATACAGAGGTTGAATTGGAAATACCTGGACACAAGCAGATACAATCTTGCATACTATTGGTAGTACCAGACAGCAGATACAACCATGAAGTACCACTCTTGCTTGGGACCAACACACTTACAGCAATCATGGACACATTTGAAAAAGAACTTGGGCAAAGATTTTTGCAGAACAGTTGCCTTACTACACCATGGTACCTTACATTCCGCTGTATTCTACTACGTGAGCGAGAACTTCTGAAGAACAACAACAGATTAGGAATCATCAAGAGCGCAGAAGTCAAGAGTATCACTGTACCACCTAACTCTTACATCTCATTGACTGGATATTTGGATAAGGAGATACCATACTACCGTACTACAGCTATGACACATTCTTCTATATTGGCAAAGGACTTTAAGGATTTTGATATTGAGCCAGGACTTGTCAACTACCAACATAAACAGAACGGACCAATAACCATCAAAATATCTAATGTAACCACAAGAACCATCAACATTCCACCAAAAGCTATCATCTGTGAACTTCAACCCGTATCACTTGAATACCAACATGATGAGCCATCAGAGAAAGAGATAGTTAACATCATGGATCAGATAGAGTTTACCAAGAGCAACTTAACAGATGATCAGTATGACCAAGGATTTCAACTTGTTACTTCATATTTGGACCTATTTTCGAAGAAAGACGATGATGTTGGCCATACAGATATTGTGCAGCACCGCATAGATCTGATAGATGACAAACCCTTTAAACAAAGATATAGGAGTATACCACCTTCAGCCTACGACGAAGTTAGAGCTCACCTTCGACAGTTACTTGATGCTGGGATTATCAGGCCATCACACAGTCCATTTGCATCCAACGTGGTATTGGTGAGGAAGAAAGACAACAGCCTGAGACTATGTGTTGATTACCGTCAGCTTAATAACATCAGCAAAAAGGATAGTTACAGCTTGCCGAGAATCGAGGAGCTTCTAGATTGTCTTGGAGGGAGTACGTTCTTTAGTACCATGGACATGAAGTCTGGTTATTATCAGGTAGGTATATATGAGCCACACAAGGAACGCACAGCATTCACCGTTGGACCATTAGGCTTCTACGAGTATAACAGGATGCCTTTCGGACTTACCAACAGTCCAGCCACCTATCAACGATTGATGGAGAACTGCTTAGCAGAGTATCACCTTAGGATCTGCTGCGTATTCATAGATGACATCATTGTATTTGGCAAGACATATGAGGAACATCTACACAACCTGGAACTAGTATTAGAGCGGATACGACAAGCACATCTGAAGTTAGCACCGAAGAAGTGTTCATTCTTCAAGAGGAAGGTAAAGTTTGTCGGCCACATTGTTTCTGAATCTGGAGTAGAGATCGATCCTGCAAAGACCGATAAAGTCACCACATGGCCAACTCCTACATCACCAGAGGATGTACGACGATTTCTGGGATTCGTTGGGTATTATCGCCGTTTTATACGGAACTTCAGCCAGATCAGCAGACCACTGACAGATCTCATGCCCACACCTACTGGGAAGAAGAAAGGCAAAGGAAAACCGAAACCACAGAAAGATTGGCATTGGGGAGATGATCAAGATAGAGTATTTACCATCTTGAAACAACACCTTACTTCAGCTCCTATTCTTGGATATGCAGACAGCACCCTTCCGTATGAGCTACATACTGATGCTTCCGGAACCGGTTTAGGAGCTGTCCTTTACCAGGAACAACATGGACAGAAAAGAGTTATCAGCTATGCCAGCAGGGGACTCACCAAGTCAGAGAAGAGCTACCCGCCACACAAGCTAGAGTTTCTTGCCTTGAAGTGGGCCGTAGTGGACAAGTTCAGGGACTACTTGTATGGAACCAGATTTTCCGTCCTTACTGATAACAACCCGATGACGTATGTACTAACTACAGCCAAGTTAGATGCCACGGGACATCGATGGTTAGCTGGTTTAGCAGCATTTGATTTCACCATACAGTATCGTCCAGGGAAGAACAACGGGGACGCTGATGCGTTGAGTCGACTACCCATCACCATGGAGTCTGTGAAAACTATATGCCAGTCCGTCAGCTCATCACCTTATGCTGAATGTCTACCAATGACATCCGATGTCATTGCAGGAGAGGACATATCAACTGGAACATCAACATCGGATATCATTGATTGGAAGCAAGTACAGACTCAAGATGTTATGGTGAAAAACTGGATAGATATGGTGAAGAAAGAACAGAAACCAGAAAAAGGGAATAGCATACTGAAACGACAGTACCACCACCTCAAGATCATCGAGGGAATACTGTATCGTGAAGTAAAGGCCGATGATGGTATGAAACAACAACTGGTTTTGCCTGCACAACACGTCAGCACCGTACTACAGGCTTTACACACAGACATGGGTCACCCAGGAAAGGACAGGACTTTGTCACTACTGAGAGACCGGTTTTACTGGCCTGGTATGGCCAATGATGTTGAAGAGTACATTGCGCACTGTGGCCGATGCACCAGGAGGAAGGTATTACCCAACCATAGAGCACCACTAGTTAGTATCGAGACTACTTCACCTCTGCAACTGGTATGTATGGATTACCTGACACTGGAACCATCTAAAGGAGGACTGCAACACATCCTTGTGATCACTGACCACTTCACCAGATTCGCTCAAGCTATTCCTACCAGAAACCAGACGGCAAGAACAACAGCCGAGGCATTCCTGAACCACTACATTGTTCATTACGGGATACCTGAAAGGATACACTCAGACCAGGGAGCGAATTTCGAGTCCAAAGTCATCAAGGAACTCTGTAACCTGACAGGAATGAAGAAGACTCGCACTACTAGCTACCATCCGCAGGGTAATGGTATGTGCGAGAGGTTTAACCGCACACTACTTGGAATGCTAGGAACACTAGAGCCACAGCAAAAGAGGAACTGGAAAGCCTACGTTGGACCACTCGTTCATGCATACAACTGCATCAGACATGATTCCACCGGCTACTCACCATTCTATTTGATGTTCGGCCGCAACCCAAGACTACCAGTGGACATTGCATTTGGCTTGAGGAAAGATGCCACAGGATCCAACTACATCAAGGACCTGAAACAGAGACTAGACCACGCCTACACAGTTGCTTCAGAAGCCTCCAAGAAGTCTCAACTTAGACAGAAAGAAGGTTATGACACCAGAGTCCGTGGAGCTACAATACAGAAAGGCGACCGTGTTCTGGTCAAGATAGTGGCATTTGGAGAAGGAAAACACAAGCTAGCAGACAAGTGGGAGCATGACCCTTACACCGTACTTGCTCAGCCTAATGGGGATATACCAGTGTTTACTGTACAGAAGGAAAATGGCGAGGGGAGGAAAAGAAACCTACATAGGAATCTCTTACTACCCATCGGATATCTGACAGACACTGAGCCACCAGTACAGAGAGAAAGACCCGTACCAAAACCAAGATTGAGGAAGAAACAACCCACACCTGTCACACCTATTAGACCGGAGAGCCAAGTGGAAAGTTCGGATGAATCGTCTGATGAGGAACCATTTGAGCTTGTGATAGTGGAGCCTGATGCTAGCAGTGACATTACCATCACTGAGGAACAGCACGACAACTCTACTCTGACCGATACACCTGAGGATTCTGATTCTGTAGGGGACGCCCATTCCCGGGAAGCGACAGACAGCGAAGCAGAAGGGACAGAATCGGAGTCGGTTATTAGAAGCGCTTCGACAGTCAGTAGTGAGGATAGTCAGCAGGAGGATAGTCCTGATGAAGCTTCTACAGCATCTTCACCTGCACCAGTTAGGCGGTCTACTAGAGATAGACAACAACCAGCCTGGATGAGATCTGGAACATTCGACTTATCCAAGTCAGTTGGTACACCAGTTAGTGACAGTGAGTGGTACAAGAAGGTCCAGTTTATAACATCGTTAGCTGGAACACATCTATTCCGGGATTTACAGGCAGAAGCAGCGAAGACCATACTCGACATTGTCAAGACACCGTCAGCCAAGAAATGACGAGACGTCATTTAACAGCTGGGGGGAGTATGTGGTAGACTGTATTTTATAGGTTTTACAGTAATTGTGTATATTTTTATATTTAGTTTATAGTGTTGTATTTTGTATAGGATATGACTTATATTGATTAATTAAAGGTATGAGTATATTAATTACAGATTGTAATTAATTGATTAATATATTTATTTTCATAGTTCATTTTATTTGCTTATTTGACAGTTGGACTTATTGACAGACGACATTTTCTACTGGTTTGGGTAACTTTGGTTTCACTGTATTTTACTTCAAAGGCTTTCTTTTCATGGTTCATTGGACCGCACACTTTCTTTATTTCTATTGGTCTTATGTTTTGGCGCTATATTTCTTTTGTTCTTTATACTGGTTATCACTTTTGATATAATGGTGGACATAGACATTTGTGTCTGATATAATTCTAAGTTTGAGTAACATTCTTTCTTAGTGTTCTATATTCTATATACAGGTCAGTTATCTTTCTCTATTACTAATTATATGTTAATAGTCCAGATATTTATTATTTTACCTAGAATGAATGTTTAGAATGAAAGACCGATGCGTAAATGTTGAATGCGAGATGAATGCTTTAAAATGATATAAAATAGATAAAGTACAGTAAAGTATTATCTGTTTGATTAAATGGTTTAAGAGACGTTATTTTCATATTTTCATAAATAAAGTACTTTTAACTAATTTGGTAAAGAATTAATTTAATACACACTGTATGAGAATTCGAGTGTTCCGGTACGAATGCTTTAAATACTTTTAAAGGTAAAGATATAAACGTAATAAAAGTTATGTGGTATTGATTGATTATTTTAACTAAGAGTACATATCGTAAACAGGTGGATTATTACAGTAAAACATGGATTACAATTTGTTTATTTGTTATACAGGTATATTTTAAGTAATCCTGGGAAGATGTGATTAAATTCCAATTAGATAATTCAGGAGGCCTTTGCACCTCATGCGAGGTAAGCTAAGTGTTATTTTTGTAATGTTCGTATTTTTGTTTGTTGCTATTTTATGCTTACGGCATTTATACAGCATGCAGCTTTTGCTTTTAGTTTTGTTAATTTGCTTATGTTAAAGTTTGAGTTAACCGCTTTTGTCATTTTTTCGTATATTAGACTTGTTTATATAATATGAGTCGTTAAGTGCATATGGACTAAACTTTGTCAGATACGCTCAACAATATAAGCATATTGTTGTAAATACATGCAGAACAGATTTATTTCTACTTCTATTAGTAAAACATTTGTTTATCACATTACATGGATAGAAACCTATGTACCAGATTATTTAT